ATCTCGCGGTCCGTGAGTTCAAGCCCCGCGTCGGGCTCTGTGCTGACAGCTCAGAGCCCGGAGCCTTCTTCGGATTCTGTGTCTCCCTCTCTCTCTGCCCCTCCCCCTCTCATGCTCTGCCTCTCTCTGTCTCAGAAATAAATAAACATTAAAAAAAATAAATAAATAAAAATAAAATAAAATGAACATGAAAAGAAAAACAGAAGATAATCTAACAATCTGGTTATTAGTTGTCTGTCCTCGGTGAAGTTAGATAACCTCTCTCTGAGCCTCATTGTTTTCAACTGTAAAAAAGGACAGTAATGAGGTTTTTGGGTGATAAACAACAGAAACTGGCTCTTGACTAATTTCAGATGTTGTAAGCCTGAACAGGGTGATCAGTATAGGAACCAGGGTGGCACCAGGAGTCCAGATAGCAAGAACTAATCACCGTGTCCTCAGGGTACCACTGTCATAAAGCATCCCCTGCAACCTTGTCCTTCCTTGGTCACCGCTTATGACCTAGACTGTCAGGAGAATAGGTCTGACTGCTTAAGCCTAGGCCAGATATGCCCACCACTTGGCCAGAGGAGGGTATAGTACTTTGATTAACATTCCCCCAAAACTGCAGTGGGGGAAGGGTGGTTCCCAAAGAAAAATTGGGGTTTCATTGTTAAAAGGGGGAGGGGATACTAGGCACAAGCAGAAACAATAGATCATATAATACAGGGTTATTATGATGATTGAATGAGAAAATAGCTATAAAGTGATGGTGCAGTGCTGGGCTCAATAAAAATAACCCTTATTTTTATTACAGTGCATTCTTTGTCATTATTTTAAGTAGTTAACAATACTGAAACTAATTTTTGTGGTGTAGACCCTGAGGTAATGTTATAGCAGACTCCACTGTATTATTAAAATGTATTCTATTTATATTCTAAGAATTTGGATTATTGGAGAGAGTAGAATTTAGCTAGGAAAGCATAATCTTTCAGTCCCGTGTTTGTTTGTTTTTATACTTTTCTCTCCTCCAGCCTGAAGCTTAAACTCAGCAAAGATATAGCGCTCACTGTTGGCATTTATAATCTGGTCCAGAAGGCTTACAGACCTCCTCCAGTGAGACTTTATCGGGAAACCAATGAACCAGTGAAAACCAAGACCCGGACATTTAATGTGAACACAGGCAGTTTGCTTCTGCCTAGTGACACCAAGAGGTCTCAGGTAGGCCTGCTTTCTTACTGAGTTTTGTCCCATTGAAGAGTCAATAGGGAGGGAGACATTGATCAGCCTAACTAGTTAAGTGTCTTTCATGTATGTATGCATCTTTGTAGCTAAGCTGTTAAAGCATAAAGCCATTACTGTTTGGAACTATGGCATATAGATCATTTTTTTTTTTTAATTTTTTTTTTACATTTTATTTATCTTTAAGAGAGAGAGAGAGAGAGAGAGAGAGAGAGCACAAGTGGGGGAGGGGCAGAGAGAGAGGGAGACACAGAATTCAAAGCAGGCTCCAGGCTCTGAGCTGTCGGCACAGAGCCCGATGCGGGGCTTGAACCCATGAACCGTGAGATTATGACCTGAGCCGAAGTCAGTTGCTTAACCAACTGAGCCACCCAGGTGCCTCTAGATCATCTTTTTTAAGAGACTTTATTTTTTTAATTATTTATCTTTTTTTTTTATAAATTTTCTTTAATGTTTATTTTTGAGAGAGACCGAACACGAGTGGGGGAGGAGCAGAGAGAGAGGGAGACACAGAATCCGAAGCAGGCTCCAGGCTCCGAGCTGTCAGCATAGAGCCTGATGTGGGGGGGTCAAACCTACAAACCACAAATCCTGACCTGAGCCAAAGTCAGACGCTTAACAAACTGAGCCACCCAGGCACCCCTAAAGATTTTATTTTTAAGTAATCTCTATACCCAATGTAGGGCTTGAATTTACAACCCCAGGATTAAGAGTCACATGCTTCACCGGCTGAGCCAGCCAGGCATCTAGATCATTAATACCTTGAGAGCTAGAAAGTTAGAGCCAGTGTTTGAAAGAGATGTCAGTGGAAACTTTAGCCCTGACCACTCTGCGTTCTGTTCTAATAGTTAAATTCCTTGCTTGCGTATGGTAGCAGAAAATGCTTTAGAGTCAACTAGGGAGATGAATGAAGGAAGTATGTTAGATGTAAACCGCACTTTTTTAGGGAGAGTTTTGGTTTTTTTTTCCCTTCCCCAAACGAAATTTTCTCCTATGCTTTGAAATGATACACGTATGCCTTTCGTAATCAGAAGGACAGACTGAGAACGCAGAACGTTGTCTTCCCTCATTGTCTCACCTTTGTGCAATCTGAGGAATGATTTGGTATCTGAAATTAAAATCAAATGAGTCATCCTTTTTAATTATACAAAATGTGGGAGAGAATCTGAGATTTTTTTTGCATAAGGTAAGGACCAACCAAGGATCAACTAAGTATCTCCACGTAGCCTCTTTATGTGGCCCTCGTGTTCCCCTTCCTTTAGATCTATGGGAATCGTCAGATTGTGCTAGAGAAAGAGGAAACAGAAGAGCTGAAACGGTTTGATGAACCAGGTTTGATTCTCATCGGTTTCAAGCCCTTGATAATGCTGAAGAAGCACCATTACCTGAGGCCCTCCCTATTTGTGTACCCCGAGGAGTCCCTGGTAAATGGTATGTGACTTCGATCAAGGGTAAATGAATGAGTAACAGAAGGTAGTTTACCGAGCGAGCTGCTTGCAAACTGGATAGGATGGCTTAAGGGGGTATTTTGAAAGTGTTTCTGGTCAGATCAGCTTTGGAAATTTGGGACTAAACAAAGTTAAAGAGATTTCTTTAGGACCTATAATACACTGCTATGCATTGTGAGTATCCGGAGGGTGGCGGGGGGAGATATGGAATTAGTATTTTTAACACTTACTTCCTATGGAATTCTTTCTTTGAGGCATCAGGTACAGAGTTAACAAAGAAGAAAAACCAGTTTCTTCCTTCGTGTCGGCAATTAAAGATGATACGAATTAGGTCGTTGGGTTTGTGCTGTCCAGACCTCTATTCCTCTGTGCTGTAGCTAATGAACCCCCTGGATTTGACCTGATTGGCTTTCATTAGTAACTGGGGCTTACTTGCATTGTCAGCCTAAATATAGTAAAAGTGAACTAATGTTAATAATTCACACCTCTCAATGGGGTATTCGAGGCATCTAATCCCTTTCTCTTCCTTTCTGTGCCTCTGCTGCTCGTCAGCTCTGGGCTTCTCACACCTTATTTGTTGAAGTATCACACGCCCTTTTAAGAAAATGGGAGAGAAATTGTAGGCTTATAACATGAGCTACCAGGGAAAAAAGGAGACACTTTTGGGACGCAGATCCCTGGGCCGTGTGTTTTTTAGGGAGCTCAACTCTGTTCAGTGCTCTACTCACCAAGTGTCTGGAGAAGGAGGTCATGGCGGTGTGCAGATACACCCCCCGTCGGAACACCCCTCCTTATTTTGTGGTCTTGTTGCCACAGGAAGAGGAGCTGGATGACCAGAAAATTCAGGTGACTCCCCCAGGTATGTGGAAGAGATACTTTCAGTGCTACTGAACTTTGCTCAGACTTTGGAATCACTCATGGGATTCCAACTCAGACCTGCTGAACCACAGTCTCCAGGAATGGGGCATTTGTGCATTTTCAGGGTTTCACAGATGACACAGATGCAGAGCCAGGTAAAGCTGCCAAATATGGTTGTGCAGTGCACAACATGTACAGCTGTATAAGGCAGCTCTATAGCCACAGTCGAGAATTGGCTGCATAGGGACTGTTGGCAGGTTAGTGACCAAGTTGATGGCTCACTGCTGATACTTCTTTACTAAAAGCAATTCTTTGGCACCCTTGAAATGTTCAAAAAAAATTTTTTTTTTTTAACGTTTATTTTTGAGACAGAGACAGAGCATGAACGGGAGAGGGGCAGAGAGAGAGGGAGACACAGAATCTGAAGCAGGCTCCAGGCTCTGAGCCATCAGCCCAGAGTCCGACGCGGGGCTCGAACTCACGGACTGCGAACTCGTGAACTGAGCTGAAGTCGGACGCTTAACCTACTGAGCCACCCAGGCGCCCCACCCTTGCAATGTTTAATGTTTGGTTTATCTTCTGCATACACCAAGGCAGTGATGTGTAGTAGAAAGACCGTGGGTTTTGATGTCATACTTGACCATATCTTACTCTTATGTGTGGAAAAGTTTACTTTCTTTTGTTTCAGGCCCGTCTCTGCCACACGTTACCTGGCTAACTTGGGCAAATAATTTTAACTTTTCTGTTTATATTCCTTGCCTGTAAAGATGAGAATTCTGGAACACCTTTCTCTTCAGGTTGTTTTACATTTGAAATAAGTTAATAAATGTACAAGTGCCTAGCCCAAAGTAGCCAAGAGAAGGTAGTCTTCTTTTTTTTTAGCCGTGTTTTTTTTAAATTTTTTTTTTTTTCAACGTTTATTTATTTTTGGGACAGAGAGAGACAGAGCATGAACGGGGGAGGGGCAGAGAGAG